TGGAGTAACCAATACATTTCTACTTTTGACGACCTAAAGTTTATAGATGACTTATGGTCTACAAAGTCTTTTTAGATGACTCAATTAAATGTTGCTAGCAAAAAAGTTTTATGTTAGATTAGGTCAATTAACTACCTTCTTGTCAAGTAAATTAATTATACGATAAATTAAGATGACAAATTCGTAAAATCATGATCAAATTATGTTTTTATTGTTCGATCTAATTTTTTCCACAAGTGAACCTTGACTCTACTAGCTAATTTAATTAGGCAGAAAAAGCATGGGGATAGGGAGAATGAGTGGGCAAGTAAAAAGATGAACATTGGAATGAACTACTCCTTATTAATACTAAAAATAGCATAATCATCCTCATAATCAGAATGTCCAAAATATGTATTTCAATCCCTTATTTATAGGTTAAGACACCTACACAATATACTACATCTAAAAATAATAATAAATAATATATAATTTGATGGTTACATACTATTGCAGACACCTAGACTAGTCCTTTATGCGTACTTATGGACATCGATATCTCATGCAGCTCTAGCTACCTCAGTCAAGTGCCATTGGATATTACTCTTGGTGAATGTCTCTTAGGTGAGTACTTTGAGCAAGTCCCCTCGAGGGAGTTTCCTATGCAATTTCTTTCGAGCAAATACCTTAAGTGGGTGTCTTTATCTTATTTTTTTGGGTTGAAAACTCTAGCATTGCTGATAAGGCCATTACTTTGGGATGGTAGGTATACATCTCTTGTGGTTTGGATGATGGGCCCTCTAAGCAAGGAAAGTCACCTCAACTGAGAGAAGTCTTTCTTTTGGATGAGTTCTCATGAGGGGACTACCTCCTTGAGTTAAGGTCTGTTCAGGCAAGTTCATCCCTCAATCAAATATGTCAAGGGTATATGCTTCCTTGGTAAGACTTCTTCGAGGTGAGGTTCAATAAGGCAAGTGCATACCTTGTTAAATCATATTGTGCCTATATCCCCTCTAAGAAGGGAATGTCTTTGTCGAGTGCATATTTTTGGTGGAGCTCCTTTGAGGTAAACTTCAATGATATGAGTGCTTGACCTTGTTGAATCTTGCTAGGAACGATCCCCTTTTAATGGAGCATGTACTAGATGAGTGCACCTATGGGCCTAATTCTTTTGGATTAGCTTGATTAGTCCATGTGAGTTGATTATATTTACATATTAGGGTGCAGAGAGATGATAAATATAATATATTAATTAAAAAAAAAAACTAAATTTAATAATTAAGTATTTTAATTGAATATTGAAAAAGAAAGAATTTTCATAAGGAGGGAGGAATACCCAATGAGTTCAACATCTCTTAATTTCTCTTACAAACTCCAATAACTAGTCGTCAATTTTACAAGGTATAGAGAATGTCGGCACAACACCTGCATGGCACAATAGTCACTCAAGGATAAAAAAAAATTATTTTATTTTTTAATATTTTATGTATTTAAAATATATGAATATATATGATCCATTCAAAATTTTTACTTAATTTTGTTTGTCTTCTTTTTCCCTCTATTTGTAAACAAATTGAACACAATTAATAATAAACTCTTCAATGTGGTGCTTCATTTCACAATATATTTTCTGCATTTATTTTTTATAAATATGAAAAATGTCACCTTGCATGATTATAATCCCCTTGGGATGAAGGAATATGTTAACAAATTTTACACTTAGAAAAATCAAAAACCTCAAAAAATAAAAATTGATGTGAATTTTCATATGATCTTATAAAAAAATGCTAGAATTACAGCAAGTTAATAACAGACAAAAATCTGATGATGATTGATGGACCGACCAAAATAAGTCAATGGTTGGGAAAAGATTCAGCGACGGTCAGTAGAAAAACTCAGGCGATGGTTGGCAGGAAACCTTGCGGTGGTCGGTAAGAAACCCGGCGGTGGTTGGCAGGAACCCCGGTGGTGGTCGGCAGGAACTCCAGCGGTGGTTGACAGGAAACCCGGCGGTGGTTCACAGGAACTCCGGCGGTGGTTGGTAGGAAAACCGGCGGTGGTCGGCAGGAACTCCGACGGTGGTGGGCAGGAACTCCGGCGGTGGTCGGCAGGAACTCCGGCGGTGGTTGACAGGAAACCCGGCGGTGGTTCACATGAACTCCGGCGGTGGTTGGCAGTAAAATCGGCGGTGGTCGGCAGGAACTCTGGCAGTGGTTGGCAGGAACTTCGACGGTGGTCGGCAGGAACCCTGGCGGTGGTCGGTGGCAAGAGAGCTCCAAAATTCCTCCCTTCCTTCTCCTCTTTTTCCCTCCCCTCATGAGAAGAGTGGGGGGCTATTTATAGTTTTTTGAGAGTGGCATGACTTATAAATATATGAAGGATCAAGGGTAAGTTGGCAGTGGTTGGATGGACGGCCGATGTTGAATCCTTTGATCATGAACCGTTTGATGGACATTTGAATGTCTTAGTGATGTCGGAATTCAGTGATCTTGGGCTGGTTGGATTCGTCTCATCGAGCCGCTCGATTCGACTATAAGCTTGTTATGTTTGGAAACTGTTTGGTAATCCAAATTATGGTTTGAACCTTCCAATAGCGCTTCGGGTCCTTGATTTGGACTCATTTGGGCTCGGATTGAGTCGATTGTGGTGTCGTTGGATCTGTGTTTCCGAGACGCTCAGTTCAGCTGTAAGTTAGCTGAAATCGGAATTCATATGATCTTCGATTTAATTTCTGAAGTTTCCAACTTGATTTTGCCTCAAGATTCGTGTCCGATCAAGGTAATTTTTGATTATATATCAATATGAGTGCTTGACCTTGTTGAATCTTGCTAGGAACAATCCCCCTTTAATGGAGCGTGTACTATATGAGTGCACCTATTGGCCTAATTCTTTTGAGACTAGCTTGATTAGTCCATGTGAGTTGATTATATCTACATATTAGGGTGCAGAGAGATGATAAATATAATATATTAATTAAAAAACTAAATTTAATAATTAAGTATTTTAATTGAATAAAAATTAAATATTGAAAAAGAAAGAGTTTTCATAAGGATGGAGGAATACCCAATGAGTTCAACATATCCTAATTTCTCTTACAAACTCCAATAACTAGTCTTCAATTTTACAAGGTGTAGAGAATGTCGGCACAACACCTGCATGGCACAATAGTCACTCAATGATAAAAAAAAATTATTTTATTTTTTAATATTTTATGTATTTAAAATATATGAATATATATGATCCATTAAAAAAAAAATTAATTTTGTTTGTCTTCTATTTTCCTCTATTTGCAAACAAATTGAACACAATTAATAATAAACTCTTCAATGTGGTGCTTCATTTCACCATATATTTTCTGCATTTATTTTTTATAAATATGAAAAATGTCACCTTGCATGATTATAATCCCCTTGGGATGAAAGAAATATGTTAACAAATTTTATACTTAATTAGAAAAATCAAAAACCTCAAAAAATAAAAATTGATGTGAATTATCATATGATCCTATAAAAAAAATAAAATAAAAATTGGAATGCAAATATGTTCAAGAAGTCTGACATTGTTAATAGTGGAAGCATGTTGATATGATGTGATGCTTAAAAATTAAAATTAAAATATTTATCCAATAAAGCCTCTCTCATTCTTTATTTTGCTAAGGGTAGTGGACTCTTACATATGAATATTGTACACCTCTAAATCAAAGAGAAGATTTTTCTCATCAACACATTATCCTATAGAGTACAACTGTGTTATAGTACTTAAGGGAAAAAGAAAATTCTCTCATAGATGATAGTGAAATCTAGTTATGATTATATAATTTTACTATATAGTTATTATGTTTAAAGAGAGAACAAACAAAGATTATAGAGAGAGAATTTAGAGTGAGAAATTTTAGAATTTTGTTATATTAGCTTGACTACAAATGATTGCTTATCATGAGCTCTCTCTCTCTCTCTACGATCATCTATTTATAAAATTGGGATCGAGATTTTGCGTGAAAGGAAAAGCAAGATATTGAATTACATAAATACAAAAAATACATAACAAAGGCTTTGTGTAAAATACATGAGTTGCATAGCCTCATTGCATTTAAGTAGATATTGATGAATTCAACTGAAGCTTTCAATGAATGACATCACTTGCTTATTAGCTAAAGTCTCCATCTTGTTGAAAGAAAATCACCAACTTGACTAAGAAAAGTTGTCAATTTATTTGAGTGAATGTTGATAACTGGCTTTTGAGCTTAGGCGTATGTGGCTAGATAATAATCTGACTAAATTGTATTCTAGTTAATTCATCATGATCCTAATGCGTTCATGATTATCTTGGCTACTTCATGATGATCTTAGCGAGTCATGACAGACATGACAAATTCGCTATTTCTTACATTCTAAATCAATCAAATTATTTTAAACCAGGCCGATTTAATTTGAACCGAATCATTGTGATATTTGGATGTGCAAAAGGAGTATAACCCCTAGGAATAATAATATCCTTAATCCTAGAATTATTTATACAAGTCATTCAAATATAGAAAAAATATATTATGCCAAACATATCTTTTCAATGAACATCGAAAATATAAAAAAACTTTTCCTATGAATAATTTAATAAAATTAAGTAAAGAAACTTAAATTTGAGTGGAAAAAAAAAGGTAGAGAGAGCCCACACTCCATTTATAATATCACCAAGTTTTGGATAGAGTAAATTTGGGGCCCTAAAAAAATCAATGAAAGAGAAATCATTAATACATAGATTATGAAATCATGAGAATATGACTAAACCCAATGAAGAATAACATCCATCAATAGATTTAGTAGCAATAAATAGATTGCAATTTCTTTCAAAGTATAGAGATATTGGTATGATTCCAAAATCCAAATATAACCATTGAGAGCATCCCATCAATAAAGTAAACAGGGCCAATAAATAGTAAGGATAAATCATTATCCGAAAATTTTTATATAGTTATTTTTTCAAAAATGAAATCTTAAAAAATGAAAAACAATGCTCCTCTGTCCGATTAAACGCCACATCAGTCCTCTCCTCTCCATCTCTCTCTCTCTTTCTACAATTTCTTCATCATCTTCCTTCCCCACTCCACTAACTAGCCATGTGGTCTTCTGATGCCGGTGAAGGCAACAGCTACAGCCACAGTAACAGCAGCACCAAAATCCCCTCGTCCGCCTCCTCTTCCTCCTCCGCCATCCTCTTTCACACAACTTCCAAAAGAAAGACAATGGAAGAAGTTTGGAAAGACATCAACCTGCCCACTCTCGGCCAAGACAGCCGCCCTTCAACTCCTTCTCTCTCCCTAGAAGCTCCACTCCCCCACAAAGCCACCGCTGCATCCGCCGCCTCCACCGCCGCTGGTCGCAACTCCTTCCGCAGTATGATCTTGCAGGACTTTCTCGCCGGCGCCTTCAAAGATCCTCCCACCTCCGCCTCCTCTGGTAGCCTTCCCCAGCTTCCCCAGCCCCCTACCGTCCTTAGCCTTAGTAGCTCCGGTACTTTTCGCCCTGGCTTTGACTACACGGCTTTTCGGCCCGGTCCGCCCAACTCTAATTCCGACTCCAGCTACGCAAGCCACGTTGCCTCCCCCGCCGCCGGCAGCGGCGGCTCAGATGACATTATTGTCTCTCGCTATCCTGCTTCCCCCGCTCTGTTCTTCTCCTCCAAGAAACTTATCTCTGATGATCCCTTCTGCATTTCCGGCGGTGATCGGCGCTATAAGCGGATGATAAAGAACAGAGAGTCGGCCGCCCGTTCCCGAGCCCGAAAGCAGGCCCGTATACTCATCCTCCTCTCTTTTGAATTCAGGCTATTACTCATTTTTCTTTTTTGAAATTTTTTTAATGATCCTCCCTAATGACCACCATAATTATCTCAGATGCTTTCATCATTAAAAATATTACTTTTTTGATTTTTTCATCACTTTATTTAAATACAGAGAAAATCATCACGTCGGAATATATAAAGAAGAGCTCCGCTCACTAATTAAACAACATTATCATCGATCATTAGTATTAATAAATTATGATTATCATATCTTTCTTATATTAATTAAGTTTGGTGGCCATTACACTACCATAATTGTCCTCAGCTCTCTTACATCTTTGGGATATTAGAATATCTTTCGTCAGTTCAACTTTGCAAAGTTCTATCTCGCTTGAAATTCGTGCGACAGTCCACCCACCATTAAATTTTAGTGAGAGAACTTTGGAAACAGAAAAATATATTTTTTTCCAGAACCTCAAAAACAGAATCTTATGTGTCGACACAGGGACTCGGTTAGACTTTAATAATCCCAAAAATCTCTCACAATTTTATATTTTTATAAAAAAAATTTGATCTTTTTTTGTTAACAATCTGAAGGAAATTAAAACAGGCATACACGAACGAGCTGGAGCTGAAAGTCGCCCAACTGACAGAGGAGAACACAAAGCTCAAGAAACAGAACGAGGAGGTAATACAGGCAAATAGTTTCCTTTCCTTTGCAATAATTGGTTATTACTGATCAAGTGAAATGTTTTCGCTCATTCTGTAAACAGCTTCGATTAGCAATGGCTGCTCAGCTTCCCAAAGGGAAGGCTCTTCAAAGAACCTCATCCGCTCCATTTTAAGAAAAGAAAGAAGCTCCGAAATAGTTGGGATCTACTTACCCTTTTAAACAATGCAGACTATATAGGGAGTTAGAAAGAGAAAGCTGTAATGGGGTTACCTCTGTTTGTGCAGAAATGGAAAAACAGCTCTTTTTTAACTAAGGAATTTTTTCCCCCAGCCTTCGCTTCTCATCTGCAATGCTATTTTTAGAGAGAGAAACTGAGAAAGAGGAAAATGGGTATAATTGGGAGGTAATTATAAAGACAAAGGTGGTAATTGTTCTACTTTTTGGAACGGGCCGTCCGTCGGGTCGCCGGCCCGAAGTAATTGTACGTGCGTGCTGCTGGTACATTTGATTTGACGTTTGAGGTGTTGATGGGTGCGTAAGTGGGTGCGAAGAATGGGTGCGCATAGCTTTTGGAGTGGCTTTTGGTTGTCGAGCTGGGGTTATTGGGACCCACTCGCGTAATATAGGGGCCTTCCCTCGCCTATTGCCTTAGGATTGAATATAATAATTAATATAAAAAAATTATTTTTTATAATGATACTTAATAAGAGAAAAAAAAAGGTTTAATTTACACATTTTTTTTTTTACTGATTATATTTTACAAAATAAAATGTAATTAAAGTGAGTTAGTACATGTTGTTATAATTAAATTTTTCTTATCATTTATTTTAATTAATTTAATTTCTATTTCGACTATCATAACACCGATAAATACTTTGGTTAAAATAAACAAATCCAAATTATGAACCTAAGAATCCAACGTTCAATATGACAATCATAAAATTATTTAAAAAATAGTAAATTTCATATTTTTATAAATATTCATATATGTTAATACAATAGAAATATGACGGGTCTATTACATGAATCATTTCCTCTATTGTGCATGCATTAAGAAGTAGCAAATTTTCATTTAAATCATATAAAAATATATCATTTTTAATATTTTCTAATCAAAATTTTTTAAATCTATATTTATTTTTCTTAACCTGTGGACGTAGAATGTCGTATGGAGATCAATCAAAATGCGACATGTCACCCATATGCTCGGTACCGCTAATGTGACGTATTCTGTTGATCTACGAACAACGTTATGCGCCTGATCTCTACACAGAATAATTTAATTCGGTTCAAATATAATCTACTCTCATGATTATGTCATAAAAAAATAGACGTTTTATGTGACCAAAACATCTAAAACGACTCACAATTATTAACCAGAGTCGTTGGTGTTTCCAATTATTTAGCTTCTTGCAGCTTTTTAGGAGAAAGCTACCAATGAAATGTGTACCACAAAAACTATCTATGTAAAGAAATAAATAAATAGAACGTATAGACTAATTATAGCTGCAAGAGGACACTTTTAATAACTATGAAAGCTGTATTTATGTGAATAATCCAAAGGCTGATTAAAAGGCTACACAGAGAAGAAATAGCGGTCGACAAAAATGAAAGGGCCACACCGACGACAACTCGCCACTTGTGCTCTACAGAGCATTGGCCAGCTCAAGCTTGCTTTAATCGATCAGGTTGAAAAGGATTGAAAACTGTATAGGATGATCAGTTCCAACAGGTTCGCATCGGATATTCTTCTCTCTCTCTCTCTCGGATAATTATTACCGAGGCTTTTAAAATCGGATCGGTCAATGAACCGGAAGAAGGAGTTAGAGGTTTGATGGTTCGACCGGGGTCGAACCGGATGACGTAATAAATATTTATTATATTTAAATATTATAATAATGACACAATTATTTATAAATATATAACAAAAATTGAAAAAAATTATAATACTTTTACTTATATAATAGTGAAATGTTAGTCAAATAAATTCAAACATTTAAATCTAAAGAAAAATCATATAGGATCAATTAAAGTTTTAAAAATAAATACAATTAAATCTACTAATTTAGTAATTTTTTTACTAATTTAATATTTTTTTATTTTAATAGTGTACATTAGACATTCTCTCTCTCTCTCTCTCTCTCTCTCCCCTTGCTCTACAATCATAGTGCAAATCATTATAAATCCTAAAAAGTGGGATTTGAATCGTAAGAAAGTTAGAGAAAATAGAGAAGAAGATGACCTAAAGGCAACAACAAACAATATATATCTATATATTATAAAAGTATTTTGCCTTGTCTACAAACTTCCATGGTGAGGGAGAGAAGAGGACTTCACTAATCTGTGGAAAGAAGAAGAGTACTACAAGCCCCTCAACCTCTCACTCTTTTGAAGTTACTATAGTTCAATTTCAATAAGTTAAGGTTCCTAAATCCCAAAAGAAACTTCTTAAAAAACAAAGTAAAGGGCATTTATATTTGAAGTCTCAATCTAAAATGTTTATTAGATGGAGAGCGGCATATATATAATGTGTGGTTGAGTATAACAACTAAAGATGATGTAGAATATGTGCAAGATTTGAAGCAATTATTAATCAAGTGATGTTCATTGACTGGCGGCAGCGATGGCTCATGCTTGGTCGCGCACTGACTCACGAGAGCATGAACGGGTTGATTTCGCACAAGATATTCAGACTAGCCGACTAGGTCTCACTCACGGCTCACGCACTAGACGAGTTGATTTCGGGTCAAATCGGGTTTCTGTGTCAAACCCGAATCCTATCTATTTAATTTGCAAACGAATTGAAAACTCAAACCCGAACCCGATCCGTATGGTAAACGGGTTGACCCGAACCCAAAATTTTTTAGATATTAACAATTATTTATGCTGATCAAGATCATAAAATCATACATAAAAATTTTTTTTTTATAATCTATATATAAAATAATAAAAAAAAATAATATCTAAGAAATACCGAATGAGGCAAAGTGTCAAGTCTTTGCTGCTGATAGTCGTTGGTGTTTTCCAATTATTTACCTTTGGAGAGTACTGCAGCTTTTTAGGTTAAAGCTACTAATGAATTGTTTGCTTGCTCAGCATTGGCACTGTGTGGCATAAAACCGGCCGTATATGACATTTCATGGCTTTAGGTGCAAAAATATAAAAGAAAGGTCTAAATAGTACATTACACCAATTATGGCTGCAAAAGGACACTTTCAATAGCTATGGCTTTTATTTTTTTTGAATGCTCCAAAGGTTGAATAGAAGAGCTACATAGAGAGAAGCAAGTTGATGGACAATAATGGAGAAATTTTGCATGTCATGATGATAATGAAGAATAATGGAGAAATTCTATTTTATGTGTGAGAAGGGTGTTGAATCCAATGTGTGGAGCTATATCCAAAGTTCCAAATCTTATGGTGAATTAAGTTTGAGGAAAGTAGAGAGGTTGAATTTAGATGTTTTTTTTAATAGTTTTGGGGTTATAATGTGCGCAATTCAGCTGGTGAAATGATAAGCTAGATCAAGCCTAGAAAGAAGATGGTGAGAATATAGTATTTCAATTGCAATGAGTTTTGAAGTCATGTCCACACTCAATATTTGACCTATTATTTATAGGTTAAGGGTATGGTCGAGGGTTTAAGAAGAGCTACATGATAAAATTATACGAAAAATATATGATTAACATAGTGTAGCAAGTTGTGATGAGCTTGAGTCGTAGTTGTTCATCAAGATGAAACTTTTGATGAATGAGTATCCTTGAGAAACTCTTCTGATGATAACTTATAGTCAACCTAACGAGTTCTCTGGAGGAGTAGCCGAATTCATTGGGTGAATAGCCTTAATTGACTGGAAAGTAGTGAGTTGCTTCTTTTTCCATAGGGTTGTTAAACCATCCATAGTCAGCCTTTGAATATGACATTATTGGTGGAGTAATCAAATGCATTATAAAGCTTATGCAACCCATTAGTCTCTTCATCTCACCAAGTCAAACCTCTTAATTTCATCCCTTAATTCACTTACATATTTCTTTGTTTAGGTAAGTCTTTTAAATTACCAATGTACTTGCACTTTGGTTACACGTACCACATGAACTTCATAATTTAATATACATATATGTATATCATGCCATCATGAGCATTGTGAGCCCTAGCATGCTCAATTTAGTGGATATATATATATATATAACTTAAGCTCACCTAATAAAATTATCAACTCAAATTTCTAGTGGACTCGTATTTTATTGTAATTTTTTAAGTCTCAATAAATTTTAAATAACTTTAATTAAAATTAAAAAATTATGCAATTAATTGGTAGATTTTAGGATAAGATAATACTATCTGCTGAAAATTACATTAGGTTTAGATATGATCATCTTTCTAAACATTTATAACTATATTTTCTCTTTGTTAAAAATAATTTAAAATCCATTATGAAAATTAAATTATGAAATTTTATTTAAGTGTGATAAAATTTAATAAGAATGCTTAGGTAATTTTAAATTAATTTTTTAAGTGTTTTAAGTCAATTAATTAGCATAATTTTTACCACTTTTAACAATTAAAATAATTATTTTAAAATGGCTAAAATTTATTTAAAACATGAAAATCCTAAATAATAAAACAATGGTTTTAAAATATCTTAAGGCTAAACTTATCATTTGAGTAATGTTCATAAGTTTTTACTTTCGAGTATATTTTAATATTAACATAATATGATTTAGTTTGTTTGATTGATCTTGATCACCAATGTTCTATACTTAATTCATGTTAAGTTATTAGCAAGGATATATGGTGGGGTCTTAAGAATATAGAATTAGTTCAAACTTAATCATATGACTTGATTTGATAAGAAAGCTAATAAATTGTCTCTATTTAAATAAATTATTTATAAATAATTAACATTAATCCCTTTATATTTATATGGAGATATAATCAGTGATTTGTGTGGCTATATCATTCAATATTTAAAATTCATTTATTTCAAAAACTGTGTAAATTAAATATGATATTTTTTGAATATTTTTGCTTGATTGACTATAAAATAAATTTAAAAAAAAAACTATAAAATAAATTTAAGAAATTATTATTTATTAGATGGAAGTAAAATGATTCTAAATTTTATATTGATATGTTCTTTTACATATATATATTTTTTTACTTTTAAAAAATAGATTTAGAGGCATGACTTGTGGGACAATAATGTTGTAATCAACAATGCTATAGGGGCCAATCACACTCCAAGAATGGGAAGAGTTGAAGGGAGGGGAGAGCAAAAGGCCATGAATATAAGGTCTGCATCAATGTCGCGAGATCATCAATGCAAGAACATCAAGATAGTAATTTTGTGATGATCAAGAAGGCGGGGAATTCACAAATACAAATAATGTCACAAGAATGTAAATTTCACAAGTTGATGCAATTAAATTTCATCATGTTCAACATAATTTCAAATTCATAAAAAACGAGTTATCAAGATTATTCCCCGCACTTCAAGAAAATACTAAAAATTTATTTTACTTCATAGAAAATTCAAAACTCATATAATTCAAAAAATAGTATACTCTTAATTGTTAACACCCTAAAACAAACAACACCTTAATGAGTAGCACTTACCTTGTACTTACTCTTATGGTACCCAAAATTATGCCAAATGGGGCAAGAAGTTGGTCCAAAGTTCTAACCAAATTTAATAAAACTATCATAATTCATAGTTCTTATGCTTTCCATCATAACAAGCGGATGAAGAATAAAATGAAAATTTTATTAATTTTGACCAAAATTCCTTTTTTTTTTATGATGATGAGAATCCGTCCGCTGTCACACCCGACTTCGTCGAGCGCGCTTGGCTGTCCGTAAACCCCGGCCGACCTAATGGGCCACCCAAGCCACAAACCCATAACCGGCGCTTTGGAGCCCCGACTTAAGGGCCGACTGTAGCTCAAGGGAATCTAACTCGGGATGGGAGAATCTCAACCGAACTAAGCATCGGTGGGTCCTGTTCAATTTTTCATCACATATATCATTACTCCACCTAACATAAGGACCCACATATTAAACCCTGGAAAACACCAGTGAAATTTTGAGTAAATGCCTGATATTTTTTTATTATTAAAATTGGAAGGCTGCATATACTTCACAGGTGAACCATCTGTGTATTTGTATGGGTGGCAATCACGTGTGCATTTAAATTTCTTCCAACCACCTGTTTTTGATCACGGGTTAAAAGAGGGTGCTCATTGATAAATTTCTTTTGTTTTATTGCTTGGATTTCTTTGCAAAGTAATCTTCAGGGGCTTGAAATTTAATTAGGAAGAAGGAAGTAATAATTTCATAAATCTTATTAAATTAGTTGACAAAAGAGAAGAGAAGAAACAATAAGAATTCTAAAACTCTTCCAATCCTACTTTGTATGTAAAACACTAAATACGGGATAGGTCTATGTAAGATAGTTCTCTAGCTCTTTTATTTTTTCGATAAAAATCATAATTTTATTTTGTTATTATTTTTAGAACATCTTCAACCGAATAACCCGTTTTCCACTCCAAAATGTAGTAAAACTTCAAAATACAGTCATTCTTCTCCAATCGAACACCGTTTTTTCTTTCGTGTGCTTCCTGCGAAGGTAACCATTTTTGGCGAGCTTTTCTCTTTTTTGGTGCACTTCTTCAGCAAATCCCGCAGCAAGTTTTTTTGGCATGGGTGAACAATGTGACGCTAATATTGGCGTTTCCATGTTCACCTGCCGAAATTTGGTGTGCAATTTAGAGTTCGAATGGAGCAAATGACGAACAACATACGGCAATATTGAGCTCAATTGGAGATGGTCTTACACTGCTTTATGAAAATTTATGTTATGAAAAGCTAGTTTTTTAATCAGAATAGACAAGTTTTTTTTTCACAGCAATTTCAAAATCAACTTAATAAAATATTACAGCGGTCCCAAACAAACTATAAATCTTACAATCAAATAATCCCATAGTTTGTAAAAGCATGTAATGATACTAATCGCTATGGGCCACTGAATTGCCATTGACAAAGCATCTAAAATCACTATCAGGAAAATTAACTTTTTTTTTTCTTTTTACTTTACCGAAGGACATAAAAACTAACAAAAATTCACAAAAAAAAAAAAAAAAACTAAACTATCTGAAATCCATAACAGAATTCTGATAAGATTTGTCTATTTGTCTGTAGCAGCTTTGCTGTCGGCCTGCAGCTGCACATGAATTCAACATAATGCAACAGAACATAACTTTCACCTGGAAACCCGACTAAAATCTTAAGCAATTTTTTTCCCACAAAGCTTCACAAGGCAAAATAAGTAATATAAAATCAGGATTTAATGAGTCAGTCAATAATCTTCTAGGATCCAATTTTGGTTTCTGTAGCCTTGTTCTTCATTTCAGTAACCTGGAGCAAGAAAAGCTGAGAACCTAATAACCAGTTCATCATTGAAGTCCAAATCCCCAGCAGCCAAAGGCTGCGCATCGACCGACAGGCGACAGAGAGGGCAGGTCCTTCGACGCATAGCCAACCATTGATCGACACAGCCCCGATGGAACATATGGTGGCAGGGCAACTTCCTTGTTACATCTCCTTCATCCAAGCTTGAAAGGCAGACACAGCAATCCATTTGAAACTCCTCTGTTGTGCATTCTTCACCTCCTATCCATGCCTTGGAAACATCCTCAAGGAAATGGGAGAGGAAGGAAACCAAGGTTTTCATGAGTGAAATCCTTAATGACATGGGGACACATTAAGAATAGTGCTTTTAAGGTGTTATAAGGATTTGGTTAGAAGAGGTTGCTTGACTCTTTAGGTAACCGGGTAGGTTGGAGAAACATGAGGTGGAGTAAGGTGAGGTTTCCATTTCAGGGCAAATTATTACGTGCGGTGTCAGGACGTCGCCCAGAAACCAATAAAAATGCGCCACATCACCCCAAAAGTGTACCGAACTCGATACCGAGCGGTACCGGATGGTTCTCCCGTCCGATGTCCGCACAGAATAATCTAGACTAGTATTTTTATACTGGCAGCTAGCAAATATTGATTGAGCACAAAGCCTTGAAGCAAAAAAGTATAGATTTGTGATATTGGATCAAGTCAGAGAGAAAAAAATAGCATGGAAACCAGTAGCAGGTACACAATAGAAGTTGAAATGTTGCAGTTGAGTACTGAGTAGTTTGAATCCTGAGAATAAAGAACAATAGAAAAGAACTGTAATATATAAAGGAAATAGTGATAAGTTTTTTTGTCGAGCAGCAACAGCTTGAAAATAATGTGAAAGTGCTAAGCTGGTAGTCTGTCAAAATCTTAGTCTATTAGGCGGTAGGTAATAGGTTCAACCAACTTGTATTTATTTAGGATGATATTTTGAAATGCTAATCATTGAGAACATAACAAATACAGGTTGCGAACTGCTTCATGAAATTTAAGTCAAAGCTGGAAGATGGTAAAACTCACAGGATTCTCCATACAGGAAATGACAGCAAGTAATCTCCAAACGCTAAAAGAGACTGAATTGCAGAGACAAAAAGCTGATAAAAAAGCTGCCTTGTGCCATCAAATCATCATTGCTTCATGAAATATATATATATATATAAGTTTGTCTTAATAAGAGCTTACAAACATGATAATGATAATAGAGACAGTTCAAGGTTGTTCCCCTTCCAGAGCCAAGAGACTTTTAGGGGCTGTTTGGTATCCTATTTTCTGCCAGACAAAATTTCAATGACTTCAAATTTATTATTTTAGTAAATCCAATATTAACTTTGTCATTAACTAAATTCAGGGTTTGCTTAATCTCATAAAATTCATCGGATTTAACAAATTTAAAAATTTATTCCTCTCATAAAACTTAGATCTTAAAATAAATATTCATGAATTTAGCAGGATTTAACAAGATTTAACAGTGGATATGCAAACAATTTTCGAGTTTTAATCTCTCAAGATTTACTAAATCCTACTTGAGTCAAATATTGATTGTTGCCAATCAGCCCATTAATATTTAAGACGACATAACTTATGGCGTTTTTTTTTTTTGGGTCCCACACTTGTTCTCTTTAAAGAGACAGTCAGAGCCCTGTTGTTTGTCCCAGCAGTTTGTCAAATGGCCAGAATTAACATAAAAAATTAGCAGTCGCAAGCTACCATGTTCAGTTCAAAAGACTGAAAGACTTGAAACTTGATCGCAGGAACCATTAAAGCATGTCAAATTGGCTACTTGACAATGCTTTAATAAAGTAGGTATTTTAGCTATAATGAGGTTCAATGTAAGCCTCATAAATTTCATATTAAATATAATTAAGATCAAATATAAGAAGAATGAAATTAATTCAAAAATTAAAATTTAATTGACACAAATATATAAAATCAAACATAAATAAATTTCAAAATAAAACAAAATGAGCCGAATTTAGGGATATCTCAGCAGAGGACTTCAACAACGATGATTAATAAAACAAAATGAGGGATATGTCAGCAGAGGACTTCAACAACGATGATTAATAAGTTAATGACAGAAACAAAGAACAACAAGAAAATCACTAATGAAGTGAGTGGAGATTGGAGATTGGAGATTGGAGATTAGCAAGAAACAAATGAGATGAAAGAGAGTCCGGCTTAGGGCTTCAATGTATCTCCATGTTTTGTGGGAGTGTAACCAATTTAAAAGGATAAGAGATTAAAATGCTATGATCTTTTCATTCAAATTTGTGTTTAAGTAGACAGAAAATCTTCATAAAGGTTGAATTTTAGTATTTTTGATAATTTGATTTTATTTAAATGATATCCTAGGATTATATCTTAATAGGACACAATAGAGAAAAAAAATTCATGTAACTGACCCCACATGATAAGATAAAGATTTGATGTTGTTATTATTGTTGTATGTTGATATCTTAGGATTATAATCTTCATCACTTTGGAAGGGTATAAAAGGAAAGCTAAAATAATATTTTTGTACCCATTGGTCAAAAAATATTTCTGTTAAAGAGCTTAAACAACTATGCAACTTATTGCCAATTCGTTTGCATGCTATAATTTCTTAGCTGCTGAGAACTAGCAACTCAAATATGGACAAAGTTCGACACGCCATCTTGGATAGAGGTTAGAATTTGAACTTGCAGATAGACGGCAAGAACTGATTAATACTGACATAAGATGATGATTGCCCAAAATATTATTCAAATTGTATTCAAGGTGATTTTTACTAGGTGTTTTGGTGGGTGAGAGGTTAGTTGAGAGGGTGATAGATGTCTAAACTTAAGCCAGCCAGATACCAAACATTTTCATCTGTTTCATGGACGAACTTGATTTCATTTGGTCTGTGCTGTGCCTCCATTCAAATACAAATTGAACTTCAAATTTAGCTGAACTCCAATATTCCAAGTTGGAGAAGAGGGATTCACTTGATATGTAATTAGTTACCAAGCTAAATATCTCACGACAGCTTGAGGAGTTTTCTGCCGACGTTTAACATCAATCCATTGAAATGCAAGGTGAGTTTAATCTCAATCGGACAAGGAAACCACCCCATCAGTTCCACAGAGATATAGCACCGGCAACCATACAGGGTGCTCGTAGAGGAATGGACCTTGACCGATAGATGCGTCGAACCCCCCTGCCAACTCAAGAAGTATCAGATTCAGAAGATGATACTCAAATACTTCGTGGAATGGATTTGTTGGACTCTGATGAAAAGATGAAGGTAATGAGAATCACCGACCTCCGTTTTATCAATGGAATCCTGGAGAATTTAAAGTCAAATTAGATATTTTGTTTTTTTATTGTCATCTACACATAGAAGATTATTTAGATTGGAAAAAATGTGTCAATTTTTTTTTAAATACATGGAAATTGAGCCTGATAAGCAAGTGAAATATGTAGCTTGCCGGTAAAATGAGGAGCTAGTGCTTGGTGGACTCAACTATTACAGATGAGGCAACGTGAAGGGAAAGGCCAGGTGCGCAGTTGGATACGGATGAAACAATTGTTGCGAACCCGTTTTCTCTCTATGGACTATGAGCAAATATTATACATGAAGTATCAGCATTGTATCCAAAGTAATCGTTCCATGAATAACTATACTGAAGAATTTTACATGTTGAGTGCGAGAAATAACAACAACGAGTCCACTAATTAACTAGTAGCCCAATGTATTGGTGGTATCAAGGATAGTATACAAGATAAATTGGAGCTGAATTCGGTATGGTCTCTATCATGGGCTATAAATTTTGCGTTGAAGGCAAAAAATGCAGCAAAATCATCCTTATCGGCTTCACCACAACCGACGTCATTTTCCTGAAATTACACAAGAAACAAACAAGAATAATCCATTTGTTTTCAAGAACACAAGTGTCGCACAATCCTTCACTCATGCTATTCATGCAAATAAATAAGCTGGAGTCCCTCAAGATAGCAAATCTCATCTCAAATTTAAAATGAAAGCTAAAGCCAATCCTTATGTTAAGCCCTCTGCACTTAAATGCTTATATTGTTTCCAACCTGGAATGTCCACAAAGACAACAACTACATATAGTAGAAGCTGAAGCAGGAGATGGCACGAGCCATATAGAAGTAGGAGGGGGAGAAGTTGAAGACATTGAAGGGGATGAAGGAGAGCCGTTACTTTGCGTCATGAAGAAATTATTGATAGCCCCTCGACAATCCATTGCTTCTCAGCGCAATGCCATCTTCAGGACGCAGAGTTCCATTAACAGCAAGGTCTACGACCTTCTCATCGATAGTGGCTATACTGAGAATATAATCTCCAGATGTGTTGTCCAAGCTCTTCAATTTAAAACTACAAAAAATCCATATCCATACAAAATCAGTGTATGGAGATGATGGTTACGAAAATGTGTCAAGTAACATTTCCCATTAGAAAACAATATGTATGTGATGTTCTGTGTCACATTCTGGAAATGGATGTTTGTCACCTAATCTTGGGAAGAATGTGGCAATTTGATGTTGGTGCAAGTTATTATGGAAGAGCAAACGAATTTTCCTTAGAATGGAAGGGTCGGCATCTGCGACTTTTACCAAGTTTAAGCGACAATAAACCACAGACTCAGGGGAAATCCAATTCAACAGTCAATCATTCATATAGTCTCTGAGCCAAATTTGCTTCTTACATGGGGGGATTAATCTCCTCTATTTGCCTTAATTGTCACCGAACCGAAAACCTGCCAGAGTAGCCAAGAATTTAACAGCGACATACACAAACTCTTGGATAGTTTCTTAGGCATCTGTCCCGATAAGCTTCCCCCCATTCTCCCCCCGTTGTGAAGCATACAACACCAGATTAACCTTCTTCCCAATGCCACACTACCTAACCTTCCTCATTATCGGCTAAATCCAACAGAGCAAGATATCTTACAGAAAATCATTGACGAGCTGTTAGACAAACAACTCATTCATGCCAGTTTAAGCCCATGTGTCGTTCCCGCATTACTTGTTCCAAAGAAAAAATGGTGAATGATAATTGTGCGTGGACAACCGAGCCATTAAAAAAATAACTATCAAGTATAGTTTTCCAGTACCAAGAATTAATGAACTAATTGACAAACTTGTCAGCTCTTCGATCTTTTCCAAATTAGATCGCTATAGTGGTTACCATCATATTTGAATCCGCCCGACGATGAATGGAAGACGGCATTCAAAACTATACAGAGATCATATGAATGGAAAGTGATGTTGCTCGGTTTGTGTAATGCACCTTCAACTTTTATGAAAATGATAAATGAGGTACTTAAAACATTTCTTGAGCAAATTTTTAAACGTTTACTTTGATGATATTGTAGTTTATAGTGACGCTTTGGAACAACATATTTGTCATCTCACTACTCTTTTTGAGATATTAAGACAACACAAATTATTCCTTAACCTATCCAAATGTGAATTTGCTACTTCCACGGCTTTATCATTTCTCAAGAGGGAGTCCATATGAATCCGAAGAATGTGGTTGCCGTTGTAGATTGGCCAAACCTGCATTCCTTCTTTGACGTTAAGAGTTTACATGGCTTGGCAAACTTCTACCATAAATTTATTAAAGACTTCAGTATTATCATGGGCCCTATAATGGAGTGCTTAAAATTCAAAACTTTTTAATGGGGCATTGAATCGCAAAATAGTTTTGAGGCTATTAAAAAAGCTTTAATCTTCGCACCAGTCCTAACAATTCCCAGCTATGACAAACTCTTCATTGTGGATACTAATGCTTCTTCTATTGGTATTGGTGTTGTGTTATCCCAAAAAGGGAGACCTGTAGCTTATTTCAGTGATAAATTATGCTTGACAAAGCAACGATGGTCGGTGTATGAACAGGAATTGTATATAGTAGTTTATGCACTAAAAAAATGGGAGCATTACTTATTACATCAGGACTTTATTATCTGCAATGACAACACAACTCTCCAATACATAAAAAGTCAAAAAAATATTAACAGAATACATGCCCGTTGGGTATCGTTTCTCTAGAAATTTTCTATTGTCCTGAAGCATAAATCGGGCCAACATAACATGGTGGTGGATGCACTTAGCAGGAAAGTAGTTCTTTTAACTCAGCTCCAAACAGAAATTATGGGTTTGGAATGCCTCAAGGAATTATACACTGCTGACCCAGAATTCAATGAAATCTGGCATCAATGTTTGCACATTGATACTGTGAATGGATACTCTATACGCCACGGGGTTCTTGTTTCACCACAACTTGTTATGTATTATGGTAACTTCATCACATCAACACCTGGTACATGAGGCTCACTGTAGAGGCCTGGCTGCACACGTCTGTCGTGACAATCCCTACATAGTTGAAATCAAGTTTTTTTGGCCTCGCCTTCGTCGTGATGTCTTCCGATTTGTAGACCGTTGTTATATCTACCAAAGTTAGAAGGGTGGAGCCCAAACACTGGTTTTTACTTATCTTTGCCTGTACCGAATTCAATATGAGAAGACATCAGTTTAGATTTCGTTGTGGGTCTACCGAGGACCAAACGTGGCAATGACTCTATAATGCTAGTAGTCGATGGATTTTCCAAGATGGCGCATTTTATCTCATGCAAGAAAACATCTAATGCTCTTAACATAACACACATTTGTTTCATGAAAATGCATGTCAGGAGTTGCTGCCACTTTTACCAATCAATACACTCAGATGCTTACTGAAGTCCACCAACAACTCAACAAATCTAATTAGAATTATAAAGCAGTAGCCGACCTTCATCGCAAACAAAAACTTTTTTTTCAGGTGAGCGATCTGGTGATGATCAGAATGCGACGTGAATGATTCCCTCAGGGAACTTATTCTAAACTGGGTCGCCGTAAGATCGGGTCATTCCTATCATTGCAAAGATCAATGACAATGCGTATACAGTCTGTTGACCTTTGTATAATACCCAAAAAAGAAACGAAATGAAACACATACCTGCCCTTACCCGTCAGATCCACGATACCCTGCCG